GGCCTGGGCGCTGTCCCTCAGCTTTATTGCTCAAGGCTAACACCCGACCATCTATCCCACTGTTCCACTTCTGGCCTTTTTGGTGGTTAATTGGAGATACAGATTTCATGGATTTTCCTCCCCATGCGGACCTCCCACTGCGATCTTCAGATCTCAGCCTCTTGGAGCCTCCTAAGATGACAGACAGGTGTGAGCTACCAGCACCCCAGCTATAATTTTTTATTGATACTATTATCATCATTCTATGTAAGTGTTCAACGCTTTAATGAATAAAAATTTCCCCAGTAGTTTCAGAATGCCAGTATCATCATCAGACTCAATTGACAGGTGATTATAACTAAGATGTAAAGAGAAAATAGTTTTCCCACATTCCCATACAACAATAGCCAGGTGGAATTGAATCCAGGCAGGCTGGGATTTAAATGTCAGTCCTGAAGCCCTGCTCTCAACTGGGCTTAGCGTCAGAGCTGTCTACTCTTTGTCCCGGCCTCCTCTAAAGAAGATATCGGGTGAGAACACAACATGAGATTCTTAGAGCTTTTTGGAGATTCACACAAAATAGACAGACAGGCATCCCAGTCATTTTTTTTTAACTGCTCTGCAAATCACCGTCATTTTCTAAAACTTAAGCAGCAGCCATTCTTCATGCCTACTGGATGCGATTTGCTCAGTCATCAGTGGGCCGATATCTTTATTCTTTCTCTTTAGTGTGAGTGGGTGTGTGTGTGTGCGGGGGGGGGGGGGGGGGGGGGGGGTAAATGGGGCCCTGACTTCTCTTTACAGACACATGGATGCCACCTGGTGGTAGTCAGGAGAAACGCAGGTTTTGCAAGTCAGTCTCGGGATATGAGCATCATAGGGACCTGGGGGTTTTGTTGCCTAGTCTTCCAGAAACATTTTGCAATGAAAAATGAGCATACTATACCAAAAGTTTCAAATGCATCACTTAAGAGGTGGCATAAAGATACAGTTAGTGCGCTTGCCATTGTTAACTCGTATTCAGTTAGGATGGAATTAGGTTCTTGGTGAATCCAGCTTTGAAAATTTGTAGCAGTAACCTGGTACCCATGGCTCACATTTATAATTTTAGCAGTTCAGGAGACCAAGATCTGAGGGTCAATGTTCAAAGCCAGCCCAGGCAATAAAGTCCATTTCACGACCAAAAAGCTAGAAGCAGAGCTGTGGCTCAATGGTAGAGTGCTAGCCTTGAGCACAAAAAAGCTCAAGGACAGCACCCAGGCTCTGAGTTCAATCCCTACAACCAGTGGAAAGAAAAAAAATGGCATGACAGAGCTTTGGGCATTTTATTGACATTCATTTTTTTTTTTTGTTCTAAGGCACCAAGAGAACTAAACACCCACTTGAAAAACTGGGGTATAATTAACAGATTGAATTTGTTTTGGTGTCCATCTGTTGCTGGCTATTGCTAATGCTAGCCGTGAAACGCTTCCATATTTCACATCCGTGAAATGATGTACTGTTCTTGCTGTGTGTGGTAGGACTATCACTTTAATATGGAGGATGGGGGCAGAGGCAGGTGGATTTGGCAGGAAGGCCTTTGTAACCGTGTGACGTGGTGGTTTTTTAATCATAAACAGGTGGCCTGGCCCTTTTTTTTTTTTTTTTTTTTTGTCGGTCGTGGGGCTTGAACTCTGGGCCTGGGCGCTGTCCCTCAGCTCTTCAGCTCAAGGCGAGCGCTCTACCACTTGAGCTACAGCGCCACTTCCGGTTTTCTGGTGGTTTATTGGAGATAGGAGTCTCATGGTCTCTCCTGCCCGGGCTGGCTTTGAACCGCGATCCTCAGATTTCAGCCTCCTGAGTAGCTAGGATTACAGGCATGAGCCACCAGCGCCCGGCATTGGCCTGGCCCTTTAAGTCACACACACACACACACACACACACACACACACACACACACACACACACACACACATATCATATGCACACTTGGGAGCCTTCATCTAATCTACACTCTTAGGGACTTATTAACAGGGACAGCCGGCAGAGCTCAGCTTCAGTATTTGGGCGTCGCTAATGTGATGGGCTTCTAGACCTTATTTATATGAACAGTTACCTTTGAACATTCATAAAACCCAACAGGATGATTCTCAGATTTAAAGTAAGTGTGTCATTTTGGGGAGGCCCTTCTTTTCTATTCTTCCAGGCAGTACTATTCTACTCATTAACTACAGGTGTGTTGTGCAGCTGCCAGTGGTAGAAAGTAGGTAGTAATTGCGCTGGGCATGTGGCTTAGTGGTAGAGTGCTTGCCTTGTTGCGTGCATGAAGCCCTGGGTTTGATTCCTCAGTACCCACACAAACAGAAAAAGCCAGTGCTGTGGTTCAAGTGGTAGAGTGCTAGTCTTGAGCACAGAGAGGCTCAGGGACAGTGCCCAGGACCTAAGTTCATGCCCCAGGACTGGCAAAAAAAAAAAAAAAAAGGTAGTAATTAAGCATGATTTCATTTAAAACTCATATCTTTATAACTTAGATGAGTGAAACTTCAGTCTTTAGGCTAGAGACACAGTCGTTTTAATAATAAACCTGCACTCGAGCTGTACTGTTATAAACCAAAATGTTTGGGATCAGATTTGTGTCAAATGGACTTGAGTTCGTCCTTCCTTCCTTCCTTCCTTCCTTCCTTCCTTCCTTCCTTCCTTCCTTCCTTCCTTCCTTCCTTCCTTCCTTCCTTTTTTTCTCTCTTTCTCTCTTTCCTTCTGTCGGTCGTGGGACTTGAACTGGGCTTGGCCGCTGTCCCTCAGCTCTTCAGCTCAAGGATAGCACCCTACAACTTGAGCCACAGTGCCACTTTGGCTTTTTCTGCTGCTGTGATGCTGAGGAATGGAACCCAGGGCTTCATGCATGCAAGGCAAGCACTCTACCACTGAGCCACCTTCCCAGCCCATGGACTTGAGTTTTCTAACCCTTCATCATCATTAAAAAAAAAAATCAGTCACAGGGCTTGAATTCAGGGCTTGAACACTGTTCTTAAGCTCTTTTTTGCTCAAGGCTAGCGCTCTACCACTTGAGCCACAGCTCTACTTCTCGTTTTCTGGTGAGTAATTGGAAATAAAAGTCTCATGGACTTTGTTTCCCTGGTTGGCTTTGAACTGTGATCCTCAGAGATCAGCCTCCTGAGTGGCTAAGATGATAAGTATGAGCTACTGGTGCCCAGCTCGGTTTTGTTTTTTTCTTTTAGCTGAGAAGTAGAAGTCTCAGTGGGTGATAAATGCTCACGTTGGCATTGCTTCTGGGCTGTGGTTCTAGGGTCTGGTCCGCCCATGAAATTACTGCTAGGACAGCAAGTCCCATTTCTGGCAGCTTCATAAATAAGAATAAGCCAGGTTGCTCTAGGGTTTTAGATGGAAAAACCCAAATACAATAAAAATCTTAGCCTCCTGAGTATCCAGGATTATAAGCATGAGCCACCGGCACTCGACTTAGAATTAGGTTTATTCTTTCATTCTGTGTCATCTTCTCCAAATGATGTGTCTGTTAAGGATGATTTTTTTTTCTCTTATTAATACTGAATTTGTCATTTTTTTTGTGTTTATTTTGCTGTTTTTCTTTTAGAGTAGTAATTGTTTCTGGGCAGCATTTGGGGGGAGGATTGAAAGTGCTTTGTAGTTATGTGCCATCACAAGCAGATAATTTAAAATTTGTTTATGTATTATTATTCTTGAGTGTTTACATTTCATATTCATTAAAATGCATAGCTATTTCCAAAAAATGCATGGGATGAATATTATTAGTGTCATAGCTGATAGATACCAGCAGAGGGAGCTCCAACTCTTTTTTCTTGTCTTGAAAATGTAGCTTGTTTTCGAAGGGAAAACATAGAAATAAACTAAAAAAAAAAAAAAAAAACACAAAAAAACCAAACAAATTTAAAACTTTAATAGGACATGGCCTATATAAGTCTTTAGTTTATTTCTCTGGTACGTAAGTTTTAACTCAGCCTGCATGCTGCCTCTTAGATTTTTCCACTCAAAGCAAATCCTTTACCACTTGAACCATAGCTTTACTTCAGGTTTTCTGCTGGTTAATTTGAGATGAGTCTCATGGACTTTCCTGCTGGGAAAGTCCTGGCTTGGAACTGTGATCCTCAGATCACAGCCTCTGGAGTAGCTAGGGTTACCGGCATGAACAACTGGTAGCTGGAGACTTCAGCCTTTTAAGAAGTCAGGTGAATAGCTAAGCCACACTGTACAGAAGACTGAAGCAAAGTTTTATTCAAAACTTTTTTTATTTTATTTTTTGGGTCCGGTCGTGGGGCCTGAACTCTGGGCCTGGGCGCTGTCCCTCAGCTCTTTAGCTCAAGGCTAGCGTTCTACCACTTGAGCCACAGTGCGACTTCTAGCTCTTTTTTTCTGCTGATGTGGTGCTGAGGAATGGAACTCAGGGCCTCAAGCATGCAAGGCAAGCGCTCTACCACTGAGCCACCTTCCCAGTCCTCAAAACTTTTATGTAGGGCTGGGAAAGTGGCTCAGTGGTAGAGCGCTTGCCTAGCATGCACGAAGCCCTGGGTTCCATTCCTCAGCACCACATAAACAGAAAAAGCCGGAAGTGGCGCTGTGGCTCAAGTGGTAGAGTGCTAGCCTTGAGCAAAAGAAGCTCAGGGACAGTGCCCAGACCCTGAGTTCAAGCCCTAGGACTGGCAAAACAAACAACAAAAAAAACTTTTATGTGATTGGGTTCTAGTGCTCATGTTTGTTATCCTAGCTACTCAGGAGGCTGAGATCTGAGGATCGTGGTTCGAAGCCAGCCTGAGGCAGAAAAGTCTCTGTGAGACTCTTTATCTCCAATTAACCACTCAAAAACTGGAAGCAGTGCTGTGGCTCCAGTGGTAGAGAGCTAGCCTTGAGCACAGAGGCTCAGGGACAACACCCAGGCCCTGAGTTCAAGCCCCACAAACATCAAAAAGTCTAGCTAGGCTCTGTGTAGATCTTTCACTCATTGCCAGAGAGCTGATTCTAATGATTACCTGTGGATTTGCTCGTAGACCCCCGAAGAAAATACCACGTGAGGCTGCTGGCCTACAATAGCATCGAAGATGGCTACCAGGCGGACCAGACGGTCAGCACTCCAGGCTGTGTGTGTGAGTGCCCGTTCAGCGGCTCTCCGCTCTCCCTCACACCTGTTCATCTTCCTGTCCAGGTCTTGTTTGTACTCAGAGGCCTTGCTGGGTTTAATTGCTTTCCATCCCCCGTGCTGCCGTTGTATCTAGGTGCTCAGGTGCTCAGTAAATATTTGAGGGAGTTTCCCAGTTCTCGTTTTAATTTTGCAAACAAAAAGACGGCTAGACATTTACCTGGGGAGATAAAAACCTCACGGAACACTTAGCATACTAAATTTTCTTCTGTCTGTCTTCACCACGAGGCTAATTATTTCACTGCAGTTGCTGTTCTGTTGCTATTACAGATTATGTTCTTCTCCAGGCTACCGCTCTTAAAGCCACAACTCCACCTCCAGTTTTCTGGTGGTTCGTTGGAAATAAGAGCCTCACAGACTTTCCCGCCAGGGCTGGCTTTGGACCACGATCCTCAGTTCACAGCCTGGCTACTCTCCTGAGTCGCTAGGATTACAGGTGTGAGCCACCACCATTGCCCGGTGTGCTTCTGGTGTTTAATCTGTGAAGTATTGATTGTGTTTGACTCTTTCTCTAATAAATGGAAGAGTTCTTTCCAGATCACTACGAATGAATCTCTGGTGGGGTAAAAGAAAACAACAACAACAAAAAAAAACCCCTAACTACTGGAGTGGGACATGATGATTTTACCACCTGGCCAGTTTCTACATTGACCATTGAGTCAATTACATGTTGGATCTTTCCATAGCGGTTCGGGATCGAATGGTTCCTCCTCCACCACCCCCCCACCACCTCTACGCGAAGGCGAACACCTCCTCCTCCATCTTCTTGCACTGGCGGAGGCCAGCGTTCACCACTGCGCAGGTCATCAACTACACCATCCGCTGCAACCCCGTGGGCCTGCAGAATGCTTCCTTGGTTCTCTACCTGCAAACGTATGTAGCTCCGACTAATACTTATTTTCTTTGCTTCTTCCCCATTCAAATGTCGACTAATACTTATTTTCTTTGCTTCTTCCCCATTCAAATGTGTGTGTGTGGCCGGGCGCTGGTGGCTCACGCCTGTAATCCTAGCTACTCAGGAGGCTGAGATCTGAGGATCGCGGTTCAAAGCCAGCCCGGGCAGGAAAGACCGTGAGACTCCTATCTCCAATAAACCACCAGAAAACCGGAAGTGGTGCTGTGGCTCAAGTGGTAGAGTGCTCGCCTTGAGCTGAAGAGCTGAGGGACAGCGCCCAGGCCCAGAGTTCAAGCCCCACGACCGACAAAAAAAAAAAAAAAAAAAGTGTGTGTGTGTGTGTGTGTGTGTGTGTGTGTGTGTGTATGTATGTATATGTACACATATATTTTTAAACCCTCATGAACCCAGCTTGGGCTTCAGTTGTATGCATTTGTTTTTAGGGAGAATCTTCTAAAATATGGTGGCTACAAGCTTTGCCGGTCACGTGTTTTACCTAGCATAGAAGTGTTTGGAAACTTAGGTGGATGTGTTAAAGAATAGCCCTCTTAGGCATATTTTTGAAATTCAGAAAATAAATAAGATGTTTCAGGATATAGGGATTCCCTGTTGAAATTCTGGAAGCCCAGCCTCTCCTCTCTTACCTTCTCTCTCTCCTTCTCTCTCTTTTTTTGAGGGGGGGTAGGGGTGAATGCCAGTGCTGGGACTTGAATTCAAGTCCTAGGCTCTATCCCTGAGCTTTTTTACTCAAGGCGCAGGACCTCTACCACTTGAGCCACAGCTCCACTCTAGCTTTTGATGAGATAAAAAGTCTCATAGTCTTTCCTGCCATTGCTGGCTTTGAACCACGATCCTTGGAGCTCAGCCTCCTGAGCAGCCAGGAGTGAGCTCCCCAGCATGGTAGCCCAGTCTTTTTTTTTTTTTAAATCAGCATCTTCTGGAAGCGTAGTTTTCTCTCAGAGAGAGGCAACTTGTAGGCTTAATTCTGAAGGATAATATCCAATCTGCCATTTTAAGAGCAGATTCCATTGCGTTTATAGTCTGAGTGTCTTTAAGACAAGTCACGGGCTGATGAGTACACAGTAGTGCGTGTTGCCTGTTGGTTGGAAGGCTGACAGTCTGGTCGAAACAGTTTGGTAGCTTCCAACGATAATGATGTTTTCCCTCTTTATTTTAGGTCAGAGACTCACATGTTGGTTCCAGGGCTGGAACCAAACACCAAATATGAGTTTGCTGTGCGATTGCACGTGGACCAGCTCTCCAGTCCCTGGAGCCCCGTGGTCTACCACTCCACACTTCCAGAAGGTAAAGGAAGCCGCAGCTGTCTAGCGTTTGCCTCTTAAAAGATTATAAGGAAATGATTAAAATTCATTATGTGCATGTATGGAAAACTCCAATGAAAATGCTTTGTACAGTTACTTACTATACACTAATGAAAAACAGTGTCTAAAGTCTATCTCTATCTGTATCACTTTGGCAAGGATAATATCCTGAGTTTTCAACTACAAATGGATGGGCATCCACCTTTTTTTTTTTCTTTTTTCCTCTTCGGTGCTTAAACTCAGGACCCGGACACTGTTCTTTAGCATTTTTACTCAAAGCTGGTGCTTTACCACTTGAGCCACACTTCCATTTCCAACTTTTTTTCTGATTAATTGCACATAAGGGAATCTTTATTGACTTTCTTGCCTAGGCTGACTTCGAACCAGAATCCTCATGGCTTAGCCTCTTAAAGTAACTAGGATTACAGGCATGAGCCACCAGCAAGTGACTTTTTTCTTTTTCTTTCCTTTTTCTTTATCTGGTAATCATAAAAGTAAAATTAGCTTTCAGAAAAGGAAGTGAAAACAGTAATTTACTATTATTTATTGTTCATGGTATTTAAAAGCTTTGTAGTAGCTTTTAATTTTTCAAACTTGCTTCTAGGCTTATCCACCTATCAGGCAGGCCTTTGAGTGTTTAGGAACCATTTTATTTTTATTTATTTGTTTTTCTGTTCATTTATTTAGTTTGTTGGTCGTGGGGCTTGAACTCGGGTCCTGGGCACTGTCCCTGATCTCAAGGCTAGCTAGCACTCTGCTACTTGGAGCCACAGCTTCCCCCACTTCTGGTTTTGGGGTGGTTAGCTGGAGATAAAAGTCTCACAGACTTTCCTGCCTGGCTTGACTTTGAACCAGTGATCCTCAGATCTCAGTTTCCTGAGTAGTTAGGATTACAGGAGTGTGAGCCACTGGCGCCCAGCTGAGCCATTTTATTTTACTGTAATAATGCACTCCTTTTTTACATTTGTGTGCAGCACCCTCAGGTCCCCCGATTGGAGTAAAGGTGACCCTGATCGACGATGACACTGCCCTGGTCTCATGGAAACCCCCTGATGGGCCTGAGACGGTGGTGACACGTTATACTATCCTGTATGCATCCAGAAAGGCCTGGATCGCGGGAGAATGGCAAGTCATGCATCGAGAAGGTAAACGAGATCATCAGTCATAGTATTAAGGAGACCGAACAGGTAGATTAATAATATAAAGAATATAGGAGAAAAAGAGCAGTGTGTATTTCTATTACTAAAGTATTTGGTTTCATTCAAAGGGCTATTGGGAATTGGGTGCTAGTAGCTCACATCTGTAATCCTAGCTACTTAGGAGGTTGAAATGTGAAGATTGTAGTTCAAAGCCAGCCTGAGCATGCAAATCCAAAAGACACTTATCAGATATTCGGCAATAAGCTACAAGTAGAGGTATGGCTCAAGTGGTAGAGTGCTAGCCTTGAGCGAAAAAGTTAATGGACAGCACCCACGCCCCTGAGTTCAGGCCCCAGTACTGTGTGTCCCCCCGCAAAAACAAATGATACGTGTTGGAAATTTAAATAGTGCAATAAAGCCGTTTCTCTAACTGTATGCTTGCCAAATAAATTGGATCACCGGTAGTAGGAACATATTTCTTACATCTGATTTCTGAGCAAGTACTACTTATATCCCATTTGTACAAATGATGCTATCATATATGCTATAAAGAAAGTCACGGTCAGGCAAAGGAACAAGGTGGTGGAAGAAGTCAGGCAAGTTTACTTGGAAGAAATGACATCTGAGAATCCCTATGTTGGTGCTCGGGAGCACGAAGGACCCAATGCAGACCTGCTTGGCAGGTTAGAAAATGAGAACGTAGCCGGGCGTCAGTGGCTCACGCCTGTAATCCTAGCTACTCAGGAGGCTGAGATCTGAGGATGGAGGTTCAAGTCCCAGTCTCTGTCCCCCAAAATAAAGAGACCAGGAAGATTGCACACCACAAATATTGCTGATGTGCTTATAATATTTGAATTAAACGAAAGGCTTTTAGTTTCTGGTAATGACTACTTTTTTGAGCCATACATTAAAAAAAAAATTTGTAAGGCATTTAGTGATGACTTTATGTCTTCTCCTGTGAAGGAACGGGAAGGCTCATCCTGGCTCATCCTGGCGGCTGACCACTGCGTCATGCTGTTCGGAGCCCATCTGCCTGAGAACCTGGTAGCAGTGGGAACTCGCCCTGATGCTAAATAGGGGTTTGTTGATTTAGCCGTCCTGTGCTCAGGTTGCTCACACTCTGTGTAGGCCAAGTGGCAACCAGAGAACATGAAAACAAGTTCTGCTGAGACCCTGGCCTCACCCCTGCTGGTTTGGCTGCCAGGTGCCACGTGGCCTGCAGAGGTGGTCCTAGGAGCATGACCTCAGTGCTGTGATCGCCCCTTGCCACGCTGTCATAGCTGCACACAACTGGCCTTGGCCTGGGCTGCAGTAAGCCTTCGTGAGCCATTTGTAGCTGTTGTAAGGACTCATGAGTGCTGGAAGGGAGGAGTGGGAAGAAACACTTGTAGGAAAGCTAGGTTCCCCTGTGCAACCCATCTACCGATTCAGTGCTGGGCACATTTGTGATTGAATTTGTTTTGAGAGAGAGAGGGGGAGAGAGAGAGAGACAGAGACAGAGAGAGGGAGAGGGAGAGGGAGAAAGAGAGAATCTGAATACTGGGGCTTGAACTTGGGGCCTTGGTACTGTCCTTTAGCTTTTTTGTTCAAGGCTGATGCTCTACCAGTTGAGCCACAGTTCCACTTCTAGCCTTGTCCTGGTTAATTGGAGATCAGAGCCTCATGGACTTGCCTGGCTGGGCTGGCTTTGAACTGCGATCCTCAGATCTCAACCTCCTACATAGCTAAGATTACAGATGTGGCCACTGTTGTTCAGCTGTGGTTGGATTTCTTAATATAGGAATTAATTCCCAGGGTAGGCGTTGCTTTTCTAAGGGAAAAAAAAAGTACTTCTTCAACAGATTAGAACAAAAACCAGAAAAGACCCCTGAAGAAATATCAACCTCCAAACAGGAATCTTAGCAGTCTTGCCAACAGAGAAAATATCAGTAGCTACTAAGCCTCCTGTGTAAATTCACCCAATGATTTACTTTTTGCCCTCTTGTGGAAGAAATCTGACATAATAATTGGGCCATGGAAGGGACGTCCACATGCATTCAGAAATAACGTTGCTTCCAGCTTAAGAACGAAGAACAGGTTCATCTATCACAATCATTACCATAAGTAGTTTCGACTCTTCTAATAAGTGGGGGAAGGGACTCACAGTAGGAATTTGAAAATCGAATTATAATCGTTGATCTGGGTTGAACATGTCCCGTACTCTCTTTGTTGTGTGTATGCTTGGAAGGTTCTATAAATGTTTTTGTTTTTGTTTTCTTTTCGTGCAGTTTTGGGGCTTGAATTCTGGGCCTAAGTGCTTCCCCCCGCCCCCCCCCCCCCCCCCACAAAAGCTGAAGCTCTGCCACTTGAACCACCGCTCTGAATCATAATCTTCCAATCTCAGTCTCCTGCATAGTACCAGCCTGTACAAGTACCAGCCTGTAATGAGAGAAATTATTTTAAAAATCAAGCCGGGCACCACTGGCACGTGTCTGTAATCCTAGCTACTTGGGAGGCTGAGATCTGAGGATCGCTGTTTGAGCCAGCCTGGACAGGAAAGTCCATGGAGACTCTTTATCTCCAATTACGTACCAGAAAACCAGAAGTGGTGCTGTGGCTCAAGTGGTAGAGTACTCACTTTGACCTGAAGAGCTGAGGGACAGCGCCCAGGCCCAGAGTTCAAGCCCCACAGCTGACCCCCCCCCCCCAAAAAAAAAAAAAAAAATCAAGTGCTGTGTTTTGTATGACTATAGAAGTTGACTTTGTGATGGATGATGTGTTTCTAGGAGCAATAACCATGGCTTTGCTGGAAAACCTGGTGGCTGGAAACGTGTACATTGTCAAGATATCTGCCTCCAATGAAGTGGGGGAAGGGCCCTTCTCAAACTCTGTGGAGCTGGCTGTGCTTCCTAAAGAAGCTCCTGAGTCCAACCAGAGGCCCAAGCGTTTAGATTCTGCTGATGCCAAAGGTACGTATAATGCCTCAGCCACGGTGAGATACATAGATACATAGATATATAGATACATAGATTTTAACCTTCTATAATTGCCATCAGCCTAAACCTGCACTGGGTTTGCTGAGTGGTTGCTGGTAGAGGTCTGGCCTTCTGGCCTTGTATGGCTGTCTCTGCACAGTGGCTGTCAGACCACTATGCTGCTGTTTTCTTCTTGCCCCGGCTGTGCAGCTAGTAGAGCAGCTAACCCCCACGCTCACCCCCGCCCCCACCCCAGCTCCTGCCACCTAGCAGGCTCTGCAGAAATGCGCAGGCTGTGACGGCCATATGCACAGCAGCATGATTTGCGTTACGCTTTAGCCACAGAAAAGCTGCCTTTCTAGAAAGAAAAGTGGGGGATTTCCACAAAAGCAATTGGAGCTTCAAAGAGGAATCGTTGCCCTCCTCGCCCCCTCTGTCCATCCTGTTCTTGAGGAGGCCCGTGCCCCTGGGGTTCGGGACGAGTCACCTTGTCCACCCCCTCTTCTGCAAAGAAGTGGAAGGGTAGGGGACAGCTTTCAGTGGAGGGAAATGCCAGCTCCACTGAGGACAACACTAAGGACTCGTGGCTTGGTAAGAGTAGCCATTCTGTGCTGTGCGTGGGGTGGGGAAGGAAGGGAATGGAAGTTTTCTTGAAAACAGGCCAGGAGGTAGCCATCGCCGCTACCAGATCATGGGTGAAAAAGGTGGCCACGCCAGTCTCTTCTTTGAGTGTCACGTACTTGGTTCACAATGATCTGGACACTGTCACCTGCTTGTTAATAAATAGACCCCGTGGGGCCAGTCCTAGTGAGGGTGTGAGAATCCACTTTCTAACCTGTCCCCAGTACCCCATGCGCATCGAGAGCCCAAGCATCACTGCTGGGGTGTGTGCAAACAGTTAAGGTCCCTTCCTCCCCCACAGCTACCTGGCGGTCATGGGACATGAAAGCTGTCCTTCGGGTCATCAGAGAGACATCCGTTCTGAGCCTTGCAGTATGAGAAACTATGGGTGGATGATCACAGATACTGTAATTCCACAGCGTCTTAAGTTTGTTCTCAGAATCTTCCACACGAGATAAATTGCCCTGAAATCACTATGATACATGATGAACTCCTGCCTTTTCTGTTGAGATACAAAGTCAAGGCTTCTCCTGGGAGAGCAACACAGGGAAGCGGCATCTATGGGAGAGTCATAATGTACGGAGAGGCTTCTTTGTTGTTATTGTCTTTGGATTGACCAAGTAAACATGCTCTTCTCCAGTTTACTCAGGCTATTACCAACTCGACCAGAAATCCATGACGGGCATCGCCATAGGGGTGGGCATCGCTTTGACCTGCATCCTCATCTGTGTCCTCATCTTGATATACCGGAGTAAATCCAGGTGTGTTCCCATTGCTGCGGGGGTGGAGCGGGCGAAAAGCGTTTGAATGACAGCACCCACTGGGAACAAGTGGAAATGGAGTGTCTCTTAGGGTGACCGAGACTTCGCCACTTGAAAACAAATGCAGGGTGACCAAGTCCTTACAGCTAGAAGAAATGTACATATTGTATAGAGATTTTTTTTTTGTCATTTGAAACATATTTTACTGTGCCTATAAAATATACTTAAATGAGGGCCTGCTTTCCTCATTTCCTTCATATTTTGAGAAACACAAAATGGGTTGCTGAGATTGGGTTTTGTTTCTGTCTTAATGGCGCACTTAAATCCCAAGCATCTGGCACTCGAGAGACAGTTCCTGGAATATTTCCTGTTTAAGCAGCAGTTCCAGAAAAGGCTTCATTCACTGAGAATCGCACAGGACACGTGGCTGGGAATCTGCAGACAAGAATGAAGACAGATGGGGCTGCTGGATGCTGGTGGCTCACGCCTGTCATCCTAGCTACTCAGGAGGCTGATCTGAGGAACATGGTTCAAAGTTAGGCCAGGCAGGAAAGTCCGAGAGACTCTTTATCTCTGGTTAACCACACACACACACACAAAAACAAAAACTGGAAGTAGTGGTATGGCTTATAAAACGCTGAATAAGATTGTGAGGTCCTGAGTTCAAGCCTTGGTACCGGCAAAAAAAAAAAAAAAAAAATAGACGTGTCTTTGTTAGAATGTTTCCCCTCTGGTTCGATGTGGGTTAAGTGTTTGCCAATAACTTGCGTGTTGTGCCCTCAGCTGTATTTGAGCATTTTGTTTTGGCTTTTCCTTTTGTTAAAGTTGTTTTTTAAATTAAAATTTTGTTTAGTTTTTTGTAGGTATTTCCCAGGGCAAATGTCCTTTATGTGGCATAGATTTTTCAACAGTTCCCTCTAAGATTCATACTTATAGGCACATTTGAAAAATGTCATGATAATTAGTGAAAGGGTTAGTTCTGAAATCTTTGTGCATATTAAACTGGCATATTTTTATTGTCAGATTTTAAGTTTCTTTTTCTTCTTGTTCTTTGTTTCGGTTCTGGGGCATGAGCTCAGGACCTAGGCACTATCCCTGAGTTTTTTTGCTCTAAGCCAGCTGGCTTCTGGCTTAGGAAATTTTTTTTTTCAGTCATGGAACTTGAACTCGGGCCTGGGCGCTGCCCCTCAGCTCTTCAGCTCAAGGCTAGCACTCTACCATTTGAGCCACAGATTCCCCTTCCAGTTTTCTGGTGGCTAATTGGAGATAAAAGTCTCACGGATTTTCCTGCCCGGGGTGACTTTGAACCGTGATCCTCAGATCTCAGTCTCCTGAGTAGCTAGGATTACAGGTGTGAGCCACCAGTGCCCAGATGGAAAAATTTTATATAAGCAGATATGAAGTTAAGAAGAAAGTTTCCACAAGTGTAAAGTTTTCAGTAGTGAGTAGAGTTAAAAATCTAAAAAGCTGCTGGGCACCATTGGCTGATGCCTGTAATCCTAGCTACTCAGGAGGATGAGATCTGAGGATCGGTTCAAAGCCAGCCCGGACAGGAAAGTGTGTAAGACTCTTATCTCCAATAAACCACTCAGAAAACTGGAAATAGTGTTGTGGCTCAAGTGGTAGAGCACTGTCTGTGAGCTGAAGAGCTGAGGGACAGCACCTAGGCCCAGAGTTCAAGCTCCATGACTGACCAAAAAAAATCTAAAAAGCTGGTGTTTGTGGTACCCACCTGTAATCCTGACAACTCAGGAAGCTGAGATCTGAGGATTGAGGTTTGTAGCCAGCCCTGGCAGGAAAGTTGTCAGAATCTTATCTGCAATTAGCCACCAGAAAACCAGAAGTGGCGCTGTAACTCAAAGTGGTATAGTGCGAGCCTCGAGCAAAAAAGCTTAGGGACAGGGCCTAGGCCCTGAATTCAAGCCCTATAACTCCCCCAACAACAACAAAAACCTAATACCCAGTTTCTAAAGCAGTTTGAGGAATGGTTGTGAAAGATGACACTTTGCAGTCATGATCACAGGCCAAATTGGGTACATTTACTCACAATGTCTTCTATGAGATGAGAAGATTTTTTTTCTCGTCTTCCTAATATTTCAGGAAATCATCTTCTTCCAAGATGGCTCAGAATGGAACACAACACTTGCCTGGCACCAGTGCCACCTTTGCCACGAGGAATGAAGTGGGAAAGACACTGCAGAGATCTGTAGAGAATGAAGAATCCTTGCTGCCGATGATCATGCCCAACAGCTTCAGCGATGCGAAGGTGCTCCTTCCTCTCTCCATCCTCCTCCCCTCCCTTTCTTCCCCTCCCTTCCACTCCCCTCTTCCTTTTTTGTGCCAGTCCTGGAGCTTGAACTTGGCCTTGGTACTGTCCCTTGTACCTCAAGGCTGATGATACGCTACCACTTGAGCCACAGATCTGCTTCTGGCTTTTTGGCAGATAGTTGGAGAAAACAGATCTCACAGACTTTCTTGCCCAGTCTGGCTTTGAACCACAGTCCTTAAATCTTAGCTTCCTGAGTCTGTAGGATTACACGTGTGAGCCACTAGTACCCAACCTTATGTTTTTTTTTTACATGTCTGAAGAATTTGGTCATTGTTTTTTTGTTTTTGTTTTTTTTGTCGGCCATGGGGCTTGAACTCTGGGCCTGGGCGCTGTCCCTCAGCTCTTCAGCTCAAGGCGAGCCCTCTACCACTTGAGCTACAGCGCCACTTCTGGTTTTCTGGTGGTTTATTGGAGATAGGAGTCTCACGGTCTTTCCTGCCTGGGCTGGCTTTGAACCGTGATCCTCAGATCTCAGCCTCCTGAGTAGCTAGGATTACAGGCGTGAGCCACCAGCGCCCGGCTTTTTTTTTTTTGAAAATGTATAAGATTTTATTGAGCAAAAAGTGCTGATGCGCCAGGAGTTGGGATCCCAGGAAATAGCCTGGTCATTGTTAAGATGTGAATCATTTAGTATTATTAATGGAAGGGAAATTCATGCTTTTTTTTCTTCTTCTTCTTCTTCCTTTTTTGGGCCCGTACTTGAGCTTGAACTCAAGGTCTTATGCTCTTGCTTGGCTTTTTCTGCTCAAGGCTTGTGCTCTACCAGTTGAGTCATGCCTCCACTTTTGACTTTGTATTGATAATTGGTGATATATGAATCTCATAAATTTGTTTGTCCAGGCTGGCTTTGCACTGTGATCTTTATACCTCAGTTTAAGACCCAGGACTGGCACACACACACACACACACACACACACGCGCTCGCGCGCACACACACACAGGCACACACACACAGGCACACACACACACAGGCACACACACACATGCGCGCGCACACACACACACAGGCACACACACGCACGCACACACACACACACAGGCACACACACACACACACACACACACAGAATCTAAAAATCAAGCAGAGAGCGATGGAGGCCTCAGGTACATATATTCAATCATACATGTGTGTATGTTACAAATAATGCTGGCCAGGCATGGTGGCAGATGCCTGTAATCTCTGCACTCCAGAGGTAGGCCAGGAGGATTGTGGTGAGCAGCCTGGATATAAACTCATACTCTTTCATTCACTGATGAATATTCTGATATATGTTGTGTGCTGCCTGTGTCAAAGAGAAAGAGTCTCTATGATCATTTTCCCCCTTTCACTTTGAAAAAACTTGTTTATTTATGATAAACGGAGATCTCTAATGCCAAGATATTTACATCCTCCCCTCCCCACTATTTTCTTTTCCCAGGGAGGAACCGACCTGATAATTAATAGCTATGGTCCTGTAATTAAAAACAACACTAAGAAAAAGTGGCTTTTTTTCCAAGACTCTAAGAAGACAAAAGTGGAGCAGGTAATCCACCTACATGACAGGACTCTTTGGCCCCCATGGGAAAGGAGATCATAATTACAGGAGAGACAAATGTGGATGAGTGTTGTTCATTGCTGTTCTCTCTGTGATAATGTTTTTTTTCTGTAAGGCATGCTTGTAGAGCGCTAAGGTGAGTAGTAAGCATAGACGTCAGATTGGTGGGGAGAGCAGGGGGACGCAGGCCAGTGATCCCAGCAACTCTGAAAGTAAGCACAAGGCCTGGCTGGAAAAAACATTTGTGAGACCCCATCTCAACCAGTAACAAAGGTGGGCAGGGGAGTGGGTGTCTGGCATGTGAGCTGCGCGGCCAGGGTAAAGAGGATGGCGGGCCAGGCTGACCCAAAAAAAAGCAAGATCGTATTTGCAAAAATTACTAAAACAGGCCAGTGGCTCACACCTGTAATCAGGAGGCTGAGATCTGAGGATCACAGTTCAAAGCCAGCCCGGGCAGGAAAGTCTGTGAGACTCTTATCTCCAATAAGCCACTAAAAAACCGGAAGTGGCGCTGTGGCTCAAGTGGTAGAGTGCTCACCTTGAGCTGAAGAGCTGAGGGACAGCGCCCAAGCCCAGAGTTCAAGCCCCACGACCGACAAAAAAGAAATAAATAAAATAAAATTTACTGAAGGAAAAAGGGGGCCTGGGTGTGGCTGAAATGGTAGAGCAATTTCCTAACAAGTACCAGGCTCTGAGTTCAAACCCAAGTGCCACTAAAAAGAAGTGGTTAGGGAGTCCCTAGATGCACATGTCATCGAATAGGTAGGCCTGGTAATGGTGTGCTCAGGAAGCCCCGGGTTGCGGGGGGGCGGCGTGGAGGGGAACACGGACAACTCAAAGACACTTGGAAAACAATCTAAACAAAAATGACTGGCCCGAATGGTAGAGCCCCTATCTAGCACGCATGAGGCCATGAGTTCAAGCCCCAGTACTTTTAAGAGTCTGTGATTTCAGAAGGGCCGGGAAGGGGGCAAAGCAAAACAAGCCCGAGGAAGGGAAGGAAGAGGAGGAGGAGGAGGAGAAGAGGAGGAGGAGGAGGGGGTGGTGGGGAAGACGAGGGGGAGGGGGAGGTGCCATGGAAATACCTGCAGACTTCTGGCAGGCCCTTCTGCTTTGCTCCCAGGGTGTGGCTGTGGCAGGGCCTGCGCACTGCTCACTTTCACCTGTTTCCCTCCAGCCTTCCAGAAGATTCCCTCAAGCCGCCTGCTTCTACCAGCCGGGCACCACGGTGCTGGTGACTGCCGCCTCCCCCAGCCCCCCAGGCCCAGCCAGGGGCTCCCGGGCGCCCTTCCTGTCCGCCCCAGATGCCCCGGACGCCGAGCATTCTGCCAACAGTGAGGGCAGCCACGAGACTGGGGATTCTGGAAGGTTCTCTCATGAGTCCAATGATGAGATACACCTGTCGTCCGTTCTAAGTACCACACCCCCGGCCCCTCATTCTCTCCCTGGTGGGGATCCACTTGTGGAGCCAGGGGACAGGAGGGGTGCAGGCGCTCAGCCTGGGGGGACATGACTGCTGCGTGGAGGTGGCTCAGGTCCTCTCCCTCCTCTCCCTCCTCCCTCTTCTTCCTCCTCCCTCCTCCCTAATCTCCCTCCTCCCCCCCCCTCCCCTGCCAGGCTGTTCCAAGGACCAGGAGCCAGGAGCCAAAGCCTTTCATGAATGTGCTGATGTCCTTTTAGGTATTTGAGCCTTCGATGATGCGTGTGTAATTACTGTTGCTGTTGTGATGGTGAATGTGAAGAGGCAGTCAGGGTGGTGTCTGCGTGGTGGACAGTATCACTGGAGCAAAGGAGAGACTTGGGAAAGCCTTTGCTGATTATCTACCTCAGTTTGCCAGATGGCGAACTCCGAAGACAGCTTCGTCCCCCCCTTCGCCGTCCTTCTCGCTCCGCGGCGTGGGAAGCTGGCGCGTGGGGCTGGTGTGTGCACCGCCGTGCGCGTGGCGTGTGTGGTCGGGAGGAGCCGCACAGGTGGAGGACGAGGCCCTCTCTGAAGCTCTGTTTTTTGTGGCGGTGGTGAACGCTGCAACGCTTGCATGGTGGGCGCGGTGGAGCGCTCCGGCCGTGAGGGTAGCTGAGCCGCTGAGAAGAGGGAAACAGAGGCTGTCACAAAGCAAGTGTTGGCTCTTGTGAGGACGGCGCTGCCCTGCAGCTGCGTGGCGTGGCGTGCAGCCGCTGTTGGGTCTGGGGGCGTTAGAGTGAGCGCTGCCTGCGCCGGGCCTTTCCTCCCTTGCCTGTCAGCTCGCTTGGAAAGCATCTTCCACATTTCCCGTCTTAGTTGCAAAACCCTATGCAGAAAAAAAAAATGGATTTTTTTTTTTTTTCTTTAGAGAATAGGGTTTTCTTTTCAATCCCAATTTGGCATAAAGCACTAAAAATGAAGATTAAAAAAAAAAGTAACAGGTGACTGACAGGAAGAAGAAGTTGAGATTTTCATTTCCCAGTGCCTTCCAATCTATACTATGAAATGTTTTGCCTTAGACCTTTTTACTCTTCGTGAAGTTACTTAAGGATACAAAAAGTTGCCTTAACAGTTGTTTTGTTGTTGTTGTTGTTTATCAATAACGATTTTGATGTACAGTAACTTGAAAAGTGCAGGTTTTGTTTAGGGATGAAATGTTCAGAGCTCTACTGTCTTAACTTGTGTTTTTCTGAATTCTTGAAGAGAATTTGGTATTTGGTACTTTGGGTTTACTTTTCCTTTCCTGTAATGCTGGGACAGAGAAGGGGGTCCCATTGCCTTTTATTATGTTTTCATATCTCCTAGAAATGACTCCTCCCTCCCTCCCTCCCTCCCTCCCTCCCTCCCTCCCTCCCTTCCTCCCTCCCTCCCTTCCTTCCTTCCTTCATCCTGGGGCTTGAACTCAGGGCCTGGGTACTGTCCCTGAGCTTTTTGGCTCATAGCCAGTATTAATTGAGCCATAGCTATACATCTGGCCTTTTGCTGGTGAACTGGAGCTAAAAGTCTCAGGGACTTTTCTGCCTAGGCTGGCTTTGAACCTTGACCTTTAGATCTTAGCTTCCTGAGTAGCTAAGATTACAGGCTTGAGCCACCAGTGACTAGAATGAGTCTCTCTCTCTCTCTTTTTTTGGGGGGGAGGGGTCTGGTCGTGGGGCCTGAACTCTGGGCCTGGGCGCTGTCCCTCAGCTCTTCAGCTCAAGCGCTCTACCACTTGAGCCTCAGCACCACTTCCGGCTTTTTTTTTTTTTTCTTTTTGCTTATGTGGTGCTGAGGAATCGAACCCAGGGCCTCAGGCATGCAAGGCAAGCGCTCTACCACTGAGCCACCTCCCCAGCCCCTCTCTCTTTTTTAAGGTCACGTTAAATTATACTCAAATTCATTTTTTTTTTTTTGGTCTAGGTAATAACTTCCTAGCCATGGCCTGTTGCCTGATGATGGAACATTTTGTCATAGTCTCGCCTTTTTTCTCTCTTCTTTCTTTGTGGTTTGGTGCCACACTGGTTATATTCAGAAGCAGACTCTACGCGGCGTCACTGCTTCGGTACTAAGTTCAAAGTTGTCCCCTCTTTGGTTAAGTTTGGCCTTCTGGCAAAAGAAAAAAAAACAGCAACAAAAGAAAAGAAAAAGCAGAGCTTTAGATGAATCATCTCAAGTTGAGGGGAGATGCTGCTCCTGCCTTTATGGCTCCTGTTTTATACTACCTCCTTTAAAGCTATGCTAGTGTTACTTTGCCTGGACTCAGGGAGTGCCGTGCGGCACGTTGACAGGGTATGGCGGTGGGTGGGTGGGTGTAGATGTTTGTAGAACCAACTTCATCGGTATCCCAAAGTCAGAAGCACGACGGGATTGTTTTTCGTTTTTAAAACAGAAAGCTGTAGATGTAGGACCGTATGAATTTTGAACCATCTTATCTGCCTGAAAATAATAATGAACTAGATCCTCAGTTCGGGTAGATATTTTGGACTTATTCGCCTTTTTTTTTGTACTTTCCATTTTTTTCATGTACAGATTTTTTGCATTATCTATTACCAAAGAATTTTCAGGAGAAAGTGAAATTTTGATTATTACTCCCCCCCCCCACCCCAGTTGAAATTGAATTAGTTAGAATGAAACGTATACAAGCAACTATACCAACCGAGGTTTACTTTGCTTTTGTTTTTTATTTTTTTGTAGTAATTAGATTAGTAATGCTGACTACCTCATTATTACCAGAGCATTTAAAATAAATTGTAATACCTTCTCTATCAGCATATAGTTCAAAGGAAATTCAAGTATAATTTTTTTTCTTCAGCAAGTATATATGTTCAGCTACCCAGTATTAAAACTAGTATTGAAACTAACTTGTTGGAGAGGGGGAGAAAATCTTTTCACCAAAAGTAAATATTTTGATTATACTGAATAAGGTACTGAATGTGAGCAGAGACTTCTTTTTACTTGGCCAAAAAACTTCTTTGAAGTCTGAAATACGAATTTGTGACTTATAATGTGAACGGTCTTTTGTGGTATTCACTCCTAAGGGGTGAATATGTAGACAAGAACCTTTTTCTTTTCCAAAGATTTATTTGCTGTCATTACTGACACATGCATGTCATTTTTTAAATGCCAAATATTACAAGATACTGCTCATCAGTATTTTCATACCAAAGACCATTAAAATATAGAGTTTAGCCTGTAAGAATGAGCAGATGTGAAATAAATTTATTTAGAGGCAGATAGAGAATCTAGCTTTAGTTGTAAAGGATATTCAAAAGGTTAAGTTTACATAAGTAAAAGCAATACGTTGGTATTTATCGGTGTTTATTCTAAAATCCTTTACATTGGCAAGTTAAAAAGAAAAAGAGAACCAAAGATATTTAAGGTTACCTCCACATGTAGGGAAATTGAGTTGTACATTAAACTTTTTGTTTCTTGTTTTTGTGTTCAACAACTTTGTCTTTCTCAAAGCTATTCTACATACACAAATCATCCATAGAGACTTTCCATGAAGTCTGCTGACTGAGCCATGCGATCTTTTTGCCAAATGGTGTGATTCTTTTCTAAGCACCTACTTTGTGAGAAGTTGATAGGAAGCCCAGAAAGCTATGGTAATCCCACAATTAGCCTGTACAATCTTCTTCCTCTTTGTAAAGTGTCACTTGGCTAGAGGTGGCCCTGAGGAATGGGAATACTGTCATCTGCAGAGCTAAAATGGATGCAAAACATATATTATGTTCTTATCTTTATTTTATTTTTGTACTGGCGGTGAGACTTGAACTCAGAGCTTAGGCCCTGTCCCTGAGCTTTTGTGCTCAAGTCTAACACTCTTCCGCTTGATCCACAGCTCCACTTCCTGCTTTTTGGTGGTTAACTGGTGATAAAAGTCTCATGGACTTTCCTGCCTGGGCTGGCTTTGAAACTTGATCTTCAGTTCTCAGCCTCATGAGTAGCTAAGATTATAGGTGTGAATCACCAGCTTGCCTCAGCTTATCATGGTTTAAGTGAGTGGTGCTTACGTGCTTTTCAGCACTATTGAGTTGAAATTGAATTATTAAATTGAAACATGTCCATTGTGTCAAAGGAGTCTGGTTTTCAAACTAAAAGTGACACCTTAGGAGAAAGAAAGATACTTTTTAATGAGATCTGGAGTTTTATATAATTAACCTAAAAGTAAAGACTCACCGTGACTTTTCAAATTCAGCTTTGCCACGCTGAGGAAATTAGATCCCCCATGAAATTCTACCCTTCTTTTTGCTTGGCTTTAGACAGCGATGATACTCATGGGAGAACTATGATTTATTTATTTATTCTTTTACCATCTTGTCTTACCTTTGTTAAGGGTATCGATGTTAACAATTCAGGTCATAGTTCAAGCCCAGAGGATGAACCCTTTGGAAACATTTCTGAGTTGGTCACAAAAAAAGTAATAGAAAAAGTATCTCATATATATATATATATATATATATACATATATATATATATGTATATATATATATATGAATACAAGAACATCCAGATAGGCTTACACTTCAGCAGTGGCTATAATAGTTCATATGTGTGTGTGTGTGTGTATGTGTGTGTGTGTGTGTGTGTGTACTTCATTGAATGTAAACCTTTAATACTGAATGTAAAAAAACCCAAACAAACCAAAAAGCATGTTTCCACTATGTCAAAAGAGTCATGGTCACTTGAGTCTCACCGTGTTTTCTGCAGGCTTTGGTCTCTGATAAGGTTTAATCATCAAAATAACTTTTTGCCACCTGTGACCCCAGAGTGGAGGGGAGGCCAGGTTCTGGAGACCAGTGTTCACACCCAGTTGTCCGATGGTCAGTTGTGTTGATGGTTAACCGCAGATTAATTCCGTGTTAGGTTGATGTATACTCAGGACCTAAGATCATAGGCTAACGCAACGTGTGTGTTTGCAGGCTTCTTTCTAAAATCTCTGGAGGTATTTTAAAATGTAACACCTAATTAATCTTCGAGCTCTGTAGATCTCTGTAGATGAAAATCAAGGTGTGGGTAGGGCTTCTGGAAGCCTTAGGTAGTACAGGATTCATTCCTTTGTCTTTCCCAGCTTTTAAGGGCATATAGATTCCTCTGTGTCTTCAAAGCCAGCTGTGTAACAGCTTTCTGATGCTTGTCCCTGGACAGAAAGCCCCGCCCTCCTGGGGGGGCGGGAGGTGCTGTGGTGGCTGGGAAGGTGGCTTAGTGGTAGAGTGCTTGCCTCGCATTCATGAAGCCCTGAGTTCC